CTGAAAGAGAAGACAAAAAGTTATTGAAAAGTAACAAGGTTTTGATTATATTTTCTCAAATTTTTCACAAATTTATTATTGTCTGAAGGATTATATCAACCTATGTCTGCTAATGAATTGAAAAAAAATTGCAAAGTTCATTTGCAAAGTTCATTTGCAAATCAACACATTTAACCCTATATACCATTCCAGAAAGTTCTTGACTACACCTGCCATGCTCTATCTTTACAAAAGTCAAATAAGACCAAAAATGGAGTATTGCTGACACATACTGGTTGAAACTGCCCAATCCTCTCTTTTCAGCTTTAATATAGTTCCTGCTCCTCCCCAGTTTTTGAACATGTTTATCCCTTGTTTTCTGTTTAGGATTGAGTTCCTTCTAAAGCTTTTTCATTCTCTTTCACTCCCAGCAGCCCTTTGCATCTTACTGGCATTATTACCTTGGTTGTTATATTAAACATATAGTGGCAGAAACAAGAAATGACAGAGGTTTATGAAATAAATAATTGTATTAACAAAAAAATACAACAAATGGTGAAGTGGTGTGAAAGTCTTTCGTTGAAAGAAAGAGATAAGTAAAGCCGTCTGCAGTGGCTTACAGTAGTAGAAGGAGGGTGCGTCATAATTTACTGTGGTGACAGGCTTTGGTGAGTTGTCCTTGGAAATGGGAGGCCAGTTGTCTGTGGGTGTGGAGAGGTCATTCTGACAAGTGTACCCTGCCGAATGACTGACTGCCGAAGATGTCTCTTTGATGGGATTTTAAGTCCTTTCGTAGGCTCAGATCGGCTTCTATCCCAATTTTGCTTCTTTAGGTGGGAGTGGGTGCTACTGGGTAAAAAAATGCATTGCATGTTTTTTTTGTGGGGTGAGAAAAGCAGAAGGTGTGTGCAGAGCCAATGCATTTTTGATGGAAGTTTTAGTTCAGTCTTGGGTTTTGGAGTGTTCATATTGGTGTAACATGAATCAGAAGATCTGGTTTAGGAAGATTATAACAGGGTGAACTAATTTAAAAAAAAAAACATTTGCATGGCCTTGTGGGTGATGAATTATTTTCCCTGACACAAACCCTTTCCTATAGATGCAATATCACAAGCCTATTGCTATTTCCATGGAAAATGTTCCAATGAACTATATTCCTTAGTGCCACCAGTTCAGACATTTATAGCTAAGACATGCCATGCCATGTACAAAGTTTGTTATAGACAAGCGTATGGTTGCAAGAAGGAAATACGACAACAGCAGAAATAGATTTACATGATTTATTTCAATAGGAACGTGTGGGTTTGGGACAGCTACCTTGTGGTATAGTTCATAAGTCTGGGTTGATCTCTCATAGTAGTTCACACTGGTTGGCATGGCGCTCCTTCTGCTGACTGCTGCTGACTGACCATGACAGGTCTCTTCTGTTGTACCCCGTGTGACCCCTTTTATGGTGTTTTTTATGGATTAACAGGCTCGTAAAACGACGCGAGTAAAATTAGGAGGGAAGCATTTTTATTAGTCAAAAAATAGAAACAATTTAAAATATTATTTTATTTTTCGACCGGAACTCATGTGTCAGGCTTATGCGTAAATGATGATAATGATCATTTTGTGACAGGGCCTTGTCCCGTTCACATCTGGCTCTCGCTCTTGAGTATGTTAGTTTATTTGCCTGCAAATCAGCCGAGATATGTCTTATTTTATTTTATAACAAGTTGAATCAACCTCATTACTATCATATTCCATTGGTTAGAGAGAAGTTCCATTTGGAGATGCTACTTTGTGGAACAAAGTCCTGTGAGGATGCTTTTTCAATTGCTACAATCATAACATCTTCAAGTCTAGGCTCAACCATTATCTCAATTGCAAACCAGCACAGTTCACCCATTCACAGCTGAGACTGTATTAATGCAAGGGTGACAGCTAACTCATTAACAGTGTATGTTTTAGTATGAAAACAAATAATTAATATATTTTCTTTTCAAAAATAGTTCAGTATATACAGTCAACTATGAAATTATTTGCACACACATCAATTTTTAATATTTTATCTATTTCTCAGAATCTAATGTTTATATGATACCAAGATGTTATTAAGAACAAAAAAGGGAATATAAAACTCAATTTTCAGAACAATAGGTTAAATACAACAAATTTGACAGGCAAATTATACAAAATAGGAAAAGACTTGAGACAGAAAATTATGAACTTCCACAAGTCAGGAAATAGTTACAGCACTATTTCAAACCGGTTAGCTATCCCTAGATGTACAGTACAGTCTGTTATAAAAAACGTTTAAACAGTTTGACATGATAGAGAATTTGCCTGGGCATGGAAGAAAACCCAAATTATCACCGAGAACTGCACAAAAATTGCAAGGTTAATATAAATCCAAGAGTTGTTTTGAAAGACATCATCAAGTTTGAATACAATTGGTATCAGCATAAATACTTGCACAATACAACATTGTTTAAACAGAAATGGGTTGTATAGAAACCGACCATGATGAACCCCTCTTCACAAACCATGTTACTCAATTTAACTTTGCCAAAACATTCTTAGACAAAGAAAATTGCTTTGGGGAACAAGTACTATGGAGTGATGAAACAAAAATTTAGCTTTTTGGACATAATAATGTACAGAAGATTTGGAGCAGAAAAGGTGATGCTTTCCTCTCAAAGGAAACAGAGGCAACATTAAAACATGGAAGTGGCTCGATGATGTTTGGTGTTGTTTTAGCTCAAGGAGGACTGGACAATTAATTGCAATAATAAGAATAATGAAATCTGCATACTGTATCAAAATTCTGGATGAAAATCTACAACAATTACTACAAAATCTTCATCTAGATTGGCAATTTACTTTCTAGCAAGATAATGATCCCAAGCATACATCTAAATCAATGACTGCGTGCCTTCAATGAGTCCTGACTTGAATCCTATTGAAAATCTATGGCAAGAATTGAAATTTTGAATAAATCATTGGCCACCAAAAAACCTTCAGGAATTAAAATGTGTAACCATTGAAAAATGGAAGAAAACCCCAGAAAAGACTTGTTCAAATCTCATCAAAAACTTTAGAAAACAATTGCAGCAAGATGAGAGGCCAGTCTATTGACTATTAATATTGTAATAATTGTTCAATTTTTCTATATTTTATACTGTATGAATAATTTTGTCTTTTCGTATTTTGCCTAATTCACCTGTCAAATTTGTTGTATTTAACCTATTGTTCTGAAAATTGAGTTTTATATTCCTTTTTTGTGCTTATTAACATATAAAAAACTTGGCATCATATGGGCATTAGATTCTGAGAAATGGATAAAAAATATTAAAAATTGATGGGTGTACAAATAATTTCATTGTTGATTGTAAGAGCTTAAATGCTACTCTTGAGCAAAGATAATAAGAGATGAATGTTTACTTTGAAAATAAAGACTAAATTTGAAATTTTACTTTGAAACTAAACTTATGATAATGTTAATAGTCAGGCATATGAAAAGAAAACAAATAAGATAATTTTCATACAAGTAAGCAAAACATTCAAACAAGATGACATATTTTAACATACAACAACAAAGAAATATGATTGGATAATATTTGATGGCTCTACACACATCTCCTCACACAACAACTGACCATTGGCAGAAACATCACAAGTAATTAGCAACCAACCAGAAAAAACTAAAAGAGAGAAAAATCATCTTCACTTGAGCCACTTTGATTTTGGCAGGCATAGTAGAGAGCACATCATGTGTTCATTCAGACAGAATAATTAGCCATACAAATGGTTCTATTTTGTTTTCAAAATCCCCAAGCTGGTACTTAATCAGAAAACAAATAAAAAGTGGGTCAACAAGCTGAAAAAGTCATTGGTAGAAAATTCACTTGTGTCAAAAGAAACAATTTGGTATAGTAGTCACTTTAATGTCATATGGCTGACCGCTACTCACAAAATCACTAAAGTCCGATACAGAGACACCAGCCACTAATTGATTGTCTCTCTTTCAGAATGTATTCACATCAACAAGCCTTCTCTTTCTTATTAGTATATACTCTTTCACACACATATATAAACTTACAAAACCCCTTTTAATTGACCTCAAGCCTAATTGAAAACAGCAAACTCTAAACATCTTTTCTCATAAACCTCTACATACAATTTTGCAAACACCCATTTGTTAATTGTCAATTTTTTCGTGGAGTAATCGTGCATGGTTAAGTGCAATCAGTGAAACAATCAACAAACAGAATTGACAAAGTTCTCAATAAATAATAAGTAAAGGAAGAAAAAGAATAACAAAACAATATATGCAAGTCAAAATGAAGTAAAGTAACAGTAATAAGGCAAAAAGTTCACAAGAAACGATGTTCACATGCAAAAAGTATACAGTCAAGTGATTGTAGCGTTCTGACTTCAAGACAAGAAAAGAACAAAAATATGTCAAATGATACCAAGAAGTAGTTCATTTTTATTGGTTAGGAAGAAATCCCAGCATGCACTTGTAGAATTTGTCTATAAATTTGGGGAGGAGATGTTCTTAGCAGTCATTCTTAGCAGATTAGAGAATTTGAGGTATTATGGTGGACGTAGTAAGAAAGGTAGGAGTAAATGTGTCGTTTTGGTGATAGGACTATTGTTGGCATGTTTGGGTCCGTGTTTGTGACTAGCTAAGTTTAGAATTAAGACAGAAGAAGACCGTCCTTCCCCAATCTGCCTTTTGGCCTTGTGCCACATTTTGTACATAAGTACAAATAAATATCCATTCTTAGCAGATTAGAACCAACATTTTACCTTTATATAATGTCTCCCTTCTGGAAACGGACAATCATGGCTCTTCACAGTATATATAGTCAAGCCAAAACACAGCTCAAATGGCCTGAAGATTATATTTAAGCATGAAATAGGCTGTCACCACTGGATGCTGACCTCAATGTCCACTTTTATATTTATGTACAATCTATCCCCAAGCTCTAAGTATGTCTCCTTACTATCCCACCCAGTCCCTGTTCTGCCAT